TTCAGACTATATGACAATTTTTTTAACGATCATCACATAGGTAGATCATTGCTAATTTAATACACAACTACGCAATAGACAAATACGCAACGAGAAAATTGAAAATTGTCCAATAAACATGATGATGAACCTTACTACCGGTTTGCGAACGATTTGCTCGAAATGATCAACCTAATGAATGAAAAAATCGACATGTAGCCTAAAAAAATAAAATCCACTATCATCGACGCATGAACGCGTCCAATCGGTTGATACGGTTAGCACAGATGACATCATGCAATCATTTTGTACGCGAACGTTTTGGTCGGGATGATCACATCCCTGGGCGCAGGTTCAAGGAAGGTCATCAAAATATTAACCATGTAAGAGGAACTATGTTGTATTCGATTACTTTTTTTACTACAGGGAATATTTTTAATAGGGGATGTAAAGCATCAAATTACCGTTTCTAAACTTTCCTCTAATGGACAAGTACTAACAGTTTTGTTCTATAATGTACGGGAAGTGAAGTATCAATGCGAGGCCAACCTTACTATTGGAGATTGCACCATTTACTGGGAAAAGACTCGTATAGTCGTATTGCAAGAAAATGCAAGCAAAACACAAGAAGTGTTCGAGCAACGTCTACAACAGTTTGTTACGAACTTGGACACTAACAAATTGGTTAAGGCTTTCGCGGCCAGATGATAAGCTGCTGTCCTCCTGTGGTATCTCATTCCAGGCAACCACCAACTCCTCTCGAAGTGCTTCTAGAGTCTGAGGAGGACGTTGCAAATTGCGCAATCTCCTACCCATCATATCCCACACGTACTCAATTGGGGATAAGTCGGGAGATCTTGGTGGCCATGGTAACAATGTGACATCATTATGTTGAAAGAAGTCTATTGCGACTCTTGCAACATGTGGTCGGGCATTATCTTGTTGGAAAGTTGGATCTGTCAGGGTGTCAAGATAGGCTAAAAGATGGGGTTCTAGAACTTAGTGGATATAACGCTGCGCGTTCATGTTACCTCTGATGAAGATTAAAGGTGACCTGGAACCATAAGCTATAGCACCCCAAACCATAACTCCAACAGTGTGATGAACATGTCTTTCAACAAAAAACTGTGTATGCCTCCTTTGACCACGTCGCCTTCTAACCCTCTCACGACCATCGTGCATGCGTAAACAAAATCGAGACTCGTCACTAAAGACAATACTGTTCCATTCCTGATCCCAGAGCGACCGTTGTCTGCACCACTCAAGGCGATTACGTCGGTGTTCTCGAGTTAAAGGGAGGACCCAGTGTGGCCGGTATGAAAACAAGCCAAAACTTCTCATTCGTCGGTAAACACTTCGCATGCCAATAGGTCTTCCGTGTTCTGCAAACCATTCATTTGCAATGGACCTGGTAGTGGAGAAACGGTCCCTTAAGGCCAATAATCTTAGGCGGCGATCTTCATGGTCTGTTGTTCTACGGCGGCGTCCAGTGCCCCTTGCTCTTTGCGTACGGCTTTCTCGAAGCCATGCCTGACAACACCTAACCACAGTGTCTACACTTCTTTGCACTCTAACTGCAATTGCCCGAAAAGAAAGTCCAGCTTCCCGAAGTCCCACTATACGGCCCCTATCAAACTCACTAAGTTGACGAAATCGTACAGGTCTCCGTACTCTAGGCATCGTAACCGATCGTAAAGGATGTCAAGAACCAAAATCCGCCAACGTTGATTTTTTACTGCGGCTGACATATTCATTTTTAGAGCGTTAGTGAATTAAAAAAAAGCAGTATAAAAACCGGAATGTCCAACTGATAAGGCTGAAAATTTTTTCACTTGTTATTTACAGTAAGATAAATACATTCACCAACTTTTATTAAAATAAAACCATTTAAACTGGGTGTTCGGATTCATATGTCACTTAGTATAACTTGGAATTTTGTAATCTGCCGAGTTTAAAAATTGCGATAGGTTGTGTTGCATATTTATTATAAGAATTTATTCTTCTGTGGTTAAATTCAGTTTATTTACGTTAGTTTTAGTTATATTTGTATGTTACGTGAATAAACTTATTATTATTATATCGAGTTAATCAGGAGACTTTGGTCTTTCGTTTTGTGAAACAAAATCGTAGCTATCTCGATTTGTAACAAAGGTCTATATCGGAGACGACAAAGTACGCCGAAAAATGGCTTGTCGTCAGTACCTTTGAAGCCCTAAACGTTTGCTTTTTCGAAATTTGACGGAAATTCTAACTGCCAGGCTTGTTTCCTACGCTCAAACTTATTTTTTTTATTTATATAATTTATATCTTGCATATAAATATAGGAAACATGGAGAATTTGTTATAATATCGAAAAATAGCATGTAGTTGAGGAATCTTAAGAAATCGAAACTTTTGAACCAAAAGGAATAAAGAAATAAGAAAAGACGCTATCTTAATGTCCGATGTCTGGACTTTCTCACGCAAAAATCGAAAAACAAAAGATTACCGCTTAATATTGTCGAATCAGCCTTCTGGTCCATGCACGACGGCCAGTTGCATCCTCAGCCAACAAATTGATTGGTGGGATACCAGCTACCACCACCAGTGCAACAGTCGACATCATTCTGTAAGCGCATACCACGCGCAGCATTACTTTTTGAAAGTACAACTACTTCCCTGTCTACATCCATCATCGGAAATGGAAGGACCTCTGAAGAAGCTCGCCACTCGAGCTAGCGAAAGGTTAGGAAGAAATTCCAACCGACGACCGCCTTTAGACCCGAATCAAGACAGCAGTTTTGGACAATCTATTCGATACTCGTACCGCGATTGATGAAAATAAATGAAGATACGATCTTGCAGCGGCAAAGAAGAAAAGGTGCATCTTAGGAACACCGAAGAACAAATGCGACGAGCTAAATATCTTGCTTCCTCAACTCCTGCGACACTTTACAAGAAACTTTGTCCATCTTAACTCCACAGCCTGACGCTAATCAAACTGAAATGGGGAAAAGTTTCTTAACTTCAAAATTATTGGCAGCATTAGATAGATGTCAGTTGAGTATGAGAAATGCTATTTTTATTATTGAGGCACTTGGACATAACACTGATGAGTTTCCTATAAGCAATGCCTCAAAGTACCGATGATTGTTAAAAAGTAAGCACATAGATTTTTCTATTCTATTCGTTAGAGCGGTCCGTGGGACCTTCGCTCTTTGTTAAAGGATCGCAGGTCAGTAGTTCTGCCAGGTCTGGTTGTCCAGTCCAGTCAGGGAGAAGAGCAAAGAGGGTGACGTGCGCCGGTTTAAGGGATGCCTTGCTATTGTTAACTGGTATTCGGTTATTTTAAATTAATCCAAGAATTAATTTAGGAATTTGTGTGTACCAAAACTCGTAATTTTGGTTGGACCTAGAGTTGCACGATTTTATTTTGATCACAGTGCGAACCGCGGTCTTGTGTGCTTGCGAACTTGCTCGACTGTGTAGTCTACTGACTCACGCAACAGAGGGTTGCTGTGCGATTCCGCTTGACTATAACGTAACTGCGGCTGATGTTTGATGTAGTCCCTTACTTAAGGGATATCGAGGTCTCTGTGAAGGGTCTCATACTACGATGTGTTAGTGATGGTTCGCAAGGTTCTGTTCTGCAAAACCTGAAGATTACGCATATGCGTTTCGGCAAGAAATCACCATGCTGCACGTGCGTAAGTGATTGCTGGTCTGCTAACCATTTTGTATAGCCGAACTTTGTTAAGCAAGCTTAATTTTGAGGTTCTACATAGCAAAGGGTAGAGATGCCGAAACGTAATTTGGAATTTACTTTTTAACGCTTCAGTGTTTTTGTTTTAATTTTGATTAGCCACCGATCTGCCCATTCCAATACCTCATCCGCCGTACTTTGTAACCTGTCGTGAACCAGATTCCCGGTACGCGACTGGGCCACCAGTGCAGTGTCATCAGCATATAGATAGACTTCACAGTCGCTAGGACAAGGGACATGATGCACGAGAAGTGAGTAAAGGATTGGCCCTAGAACCGAATCCTGAGGGTCGTCGGCTCTGATGGGCCATACTGTCGACAAGAAATTATTAATTTTTATCCGAAATTTCCTACCTTCAAGGAAGGATTTCAAAAGTTTTAGGAGCCAAAATTGAAAGCCATTTTGAATTGATTTATAGAGAAGGCCCTTGTGCCACACCTTGTCAAATGCCTTCGAGACACCCAGAACCAAGATGCTAGTAGTTGCGTTAAGGGTGAAGCCCCTGGTTACTCGCTCCACAAGCCTAACTGCCTGTAAATATCGAACCCAGCTTCTTTGGAATCAATATAACTTCCGCAGTCTTCCACGCCGATGGAAAGTACTGGGTCCTTAGCATGGCATTGATAATAGCCACGCGATAAGTCATGGACTTCCGTCAAAGCAGCTTCAGCGCCTTATTAGTGATTTGATGCTCTCTAGGCGCTTTACGCACCTTGAGGTCCTTAATATGAGCTCTGCTGGTGTGCAATGCGGGATCTCGGGAGAAACCGCTGAGCGCTATGCAACTCTTCGGCTGAAGAATCTTCTGAGGAAGACGCCGTTGGCCCTAAAGTATATCCTGACGGATCTTACGATTTGTTGCTCCTCGTCGAGATCATTATCAACATCATAGTTGTGAAAGAACTGTCGTTCCATAACATCAGCGAAAATCTCGACCTAGTCTCTGGCCTGAAGACTATGCCCCCAGGACAGTGGATGTGCGGGAGTTGTTCTCGCTTTCCGTTTATGAGCGACTTCGCCACTTTCCAAAGAGGAGTACTTGAGTCAAGCATCCCCGCCAGAAAGTCGTTCCGTTGCTCATTGCGGAATTCATGGAGAGCATTTCTTACTTCATGAACAAGATTCGTCGCTCTGCGATGAAACACAAATAGATTTTATTCATCCTGACTTCCTGAATTTATGTTGAATACGTTTTGTGGGCGCTACAGTTGATATAAACCAAATAAAATATCTCCAACTACAATAATGGAAATTTATACAACAAGATCATTTATTTGTCTCACCTGGTGAACGCTCCGAAACAAACATCCCTCTCCTCTTTCTCTCCCCCTTCTCCTACGCCGCTCCGGTCAATCTTCTTGATATTCTCCACTTGCCCCACTTTTCCTGAGCCGTCTTTCAACGGCACCAAGCTCTTGCTCAAACCGTTTATTTTGTTTCTTCTGTTGACCGCCTGAAGGTGGTTGTTCTTCCTGCTATACGCGCTCTTCAAGCTCTTCGATTTCGATACGTTTCTTCTACAGTGGATTCTGCTGCTCTGATGTTTCATTATCCTACCACCTTGGGATATTACTTCCATCACAGACGGTCGGTTAGAGGGTTATCTTAGGCAGCATCCTAAGAGCCGGGCGCGCGGGATTTTAGAAGCCTGGTGTTGGAAGAAGAAACGGTCTTAGAAGAGGTGTGGGATAATTCTTTGTTGATTCAGGATTCAGAACAAGATTAGTATGGGATGAAAGAGCTTGCGTCTGATTGCGTTCGACTGAATTCGAGTCTTTTTAAGCAAAGTTTGTGCATAAAAATATAGACGTTAACTTCCGCTTTAGGTTGCGACTCATTTAGCTCTACATGAACCAAGCATTGGAGCCCTATACGAGGGATGTCATTTAAGTTTTGCATATGGAAATAAAACAACACGCTAGAGGGTGATTCGTTGTTAAAAAATATGAAAAAAAGGTCCTGTAAACATGGCTCCGGAAATACAGAGTTTTAAAGGAATTTTTATAGAACCATACTTTTCACGGACCAAGCAGGATTTCGGTATGGGGTAACGAAAATCGTCATGCTTACGTACAATGTCGCCACCAGGAACAATTTTCTTTAAATGTTTGGACGAGTATCGTTAGAGACAATCTAATGGTCCTTTCCTTTTACCCTTAACATTAAACGGAGAATTTTCAACAAAAATTGCCCGTACTGCTATAAAAAGTTCCTCTAAATCTAAACGTACGTAACCAAATAACTTTTATGCAGGATGGATGGATTATTTTTTTCCTCGAAAACGAAGTGAAATACGAAAAACATAGAAAAGGCAAGCAAGTTGTATTTTTAGATTCTTAATCAAACAACAAATATGAAAGTTACAAAAAAGGCAGTGGCGTACAATTTTTTGCCAATAATGTTCGCTAAGGTGCCCCCGGGACGCAACTGGTGCTAACAATTTCCATCTATACTAAGTGACATATAAATCCGAACACCCAGTTTAAATGGTTTTATTTTAATAAAATATGGTAAATGTATTTATCTTACTATAAATAACAAGTGAAAAAATTTTCAGCCTTATCAGTTGGACATTCCGGTTTTTATACTGCTTTTTTTTAATTCACTTACGCTCTAAAAATGAATATTTCAGCCGCAGTAAAAAATCAACGTTGGCGGATTTTGGTTCTTGACATCCTTTACGATCGGTTACGATGCCTATAGTACGGAGACCTGTACGATTTCGTCAACTTAGTGAGTTTGATAGGGGCCGTATAGTGGGACTTCGGGAAGCTGTACTTTCTTTTCAGGCAATTGCAGTTAGAGTGCAAAGAAGTGTAGACACTGTGGTTAGGTGTTGTCAGGCATGGCTTCGAGAAGGCCGTACGCAAAGAGCAAGGGGGACTGGACGCCGCCGTAGAACAACAGACCATGAAGATCGCCGCCTAAGATTATTGGCCTTAAGGGACCGTTTCTCCACTACCAGGTCCATTGCAAATGAATGGTTTGCAGAACACGGAAGACTTATTGACATGCGAAGTGTTTACCGACGAATGAGAAGTTTTGGCTTGTTTTCATACCGGCCATACTGGGTCCTCCCTTTAACTCGAGAACACCGACGTAATCGCCTTGAGTGGTGCAGACAACGGTCACTCTGGGATCAAGAATGGAACAGTATAGTCTTTAGTGACGAGTCTCGATTTTGTTTAGGCATGCAAGATGGTCGTGCCAGGGTTAGAAGGCGACGTGGTGAAAGGAGGAATCCACAGTTTTTTGTTGTTGAAAGACATGTTCATCACACTGTTGGAGTTATGGTTTGGGGTGCTACAGCTTATGGTTCCAGGTCACCTTTAATCTTCATCAGAGGTAACATGAACGCGCAGCGTTATATCCACGAAGTTCTAGAACCCCATCTTTTACCCTATCTTGACACCCTGGCAGATCCAACTTTCCAACAAGATAATGTCCGACCACATGTTGCAAGAGTCACAATAGACGTCTTTCAACATAATGATGTCACATTGTTATCATGGCCACCAAGATCTCCCGACTTATCCCCAATTGAGCACGTGTGGGACATGATGGGTAAGAGATTGCTCAATTTGCAACGTCCTTCTCAGACTCTAGAAGCACTTCGAGAGGAGTTGGTGGTTGCCTGGAATGAGATACCACAGGAGGACATTGACCACCTGATCAGAAGCATGCCTAGGCGCGTTGGAGAATGCGTAGCACATCAGGGTGCATCCACACATTATTAAAGGTCAAAGGGCTTTAAAGCAGTGCAATCATTTTGAAATTTTTATCATTTACTTATTATGCTTCATTAAGTACTTATACAAAATTTTATTAAAATAAAACCAATTAAACTGGGTGTTCGGATTTATATGTCACTTAGTATATATTTAGGGCTAAATTAGCCTCTTAATACAACAATTAATATTGCCAAATTTCAACAGAATCAAGTAAATATTTTTCAACATATTTATAAATTTGGCATTTGTTTATAGAAACTTTTTTTCATATTTTTTTAACAAGGAATCACCCTCTCAAATATCATCTTGACACCCTAGGGACAAACGAGCGGTTGTATCGACCAGTTCTGGATGTCCGACAGGGTTAGGATGCGAAGTAGTAATGGATCAGTTGAACAGCACCACAGAATACAAAGTTAGAGTAGAAGAGTCACTCCGTCGAAAAGTGCTACCTGCCATTTGGACGCGATCATCCATTCATTTCCTGCGATAATAGTCATGGAAGTATAATCCAAATGCTCGGAAAATATTCTGATAAAAAACATTTTTTGACGCAATTTTAAGTCTGGCGACATGCAGATCCATTGAAAGGGGTCTTTTTGAATGAGAGCCAAAAAAACAATCAAAATATTAAGATAGATACTTCCTGTACTACAACTGCCGAGGTAGTCGATGGCTAGCATCCGATCCCGTCGGAAAAGTGGGTCACGTGGCTGTTGGATGTATCCAGGACGATTCGCTGGGACAAGTTGGTGTTGCGTGCATGGATGCAAAATAAATGAAGGAAGTGGTGTCAGCCATTTCGTTGCCTTGCTAATGATTTTAGGCAAGTAAGGTTTTTGAATCCGTTTTTTCATACATGATCTCAGGTCGAGGTGAAATTGACGACCCAAAATTTATCTATGATTCATGAGTGTACCAGTACAAAATACAATTACATTTCGTTGCCTTGCTAATAATTTTAGACAAGTAAGGTTTTTGAATCCGTTTTTTCATACATTATCTCAAGTCGAAGTGAAATTGACGACCCAAAATTTATCTATGATTCATGAGTGTACCAGTACAAAATACAATTATAGTTCATAATATTTCATTATATTTATTAAAATGCATATTTTATGCATTTTCAAACCTCCGTTCAACGTTGAAAACGCAAATTAAATCTTTAATTGGATTCAGGTGGAGGGAGGTACGTCCCCGTGGTGAGGCCTGGGTAACCCGAACAAGGGCTGGCTGAGAGCTGCATTAACGTTCTGACAAATGACTCCATTTTTCTTATATTAATCAGTTACAGGTCGCTGCTCTAGCTATTTCTGTTTAATGATGACAAGTGTTACAAAATGTTGAAGTACATTTTACCTTTCCGAAGTTGAAATCGTCGCGCCACTGTGGGCGGTTTCCCTTAAAAAAAGTGGCAATATTCCTCGCATTCCATTGCTGTCAATAGTTTTGGTAATCAACTTCAACTTTTCAACAACCTATTCCGATGCGCCAAAGTTCGACAGCACTACCCTGTATAAAGCAATAAACAAGTGTGGTATACTTTATCTGAAGTTACTTGAAACACTGTGAAATACGGGGTGCGTTTTATATATCTATATTTAACACGCTCTGTTGCTGCAAAAATCGCCAAATTTCGCAGCAAATATCCCCCGTATAAGATCAAAGGCAGTTTCACCGGTCCACGTGGAGTAAAGCACGCCTATGCGTGGACATAGCCAATGAGAAAGCGTGTATTTCAGAGCTCCGAACAAGTGCAGTGGCTACTGAAAATTGAAACAGTTTAGCCAGTGCCGTGTAGCGGTGAATAAACGTGTTTTCTTTAGTCTGTCCGTGTTTTTTCATAGATTTTATTAGTTTGTGTGTTTTTGACTTTTGAATACTCAGTTTACTTGTTGATTTAATTGTTGGGTTGATTGTTCTTGTGTGTCCTAAATATGGCTCTTTGGAGACCTTGGGAAAATGCTCCAAGCCACGAGGAGATGGTTAATGAACTTGTGCAGGCAGAATTCTTTCATAAAGATTTAGAGGAACAGACCCAAAGAGTAATCCTAAATATGTATGATTGTCTGAAAAACGAAAATCCAGATTCCTCGCAAAATCAGATTTTAAACAGAATTTGTATCCTGACAAAAATCAGTCGGTCTACCATTTATCGGGTTATAAAAAGGGGAGATGTAGTCAACCATTCCTTCCACAGAAAGCGCATAGGACAAAAATTAAAAAGAATAGACGTGGGTTTTCAGGAAGATATTCGTCGTATAATATACGGATTTTATAAAGAAAATTTGGTGCCCACGTTGGAAATGATACGGGATAAATTAAAAGATTATCCTGAAGATTTTTATAATTACAAATGCTTAGACTCACTGCACTGTATTGTAAAACTGTGTGGTTTTCAATACAAAAAAATAGATAAAAGAATGGTGATTATGGAGTCGTCTCGAATCGTTGAATTGCGCCAAGAATTTTTGCACAAAGTTAAAATCTATAGAGAGCAGAAAAGAAATCTGATTTACCTGGATGAAACGTGGTATGATACCCATGATGTTGTGCAGTACGGCTGGGTTGACGACAGCAACAAGTGCATTTTAAATGCACCATGCAACCGTGGAAAACGAATCATTATTCTCCATGCTGGCAGTGAAAATGGATTTATACCTAATGCCTTGCTGTTATCTGCCAAAAATATCAAAGAATCATGTGCCGACTATCATGAGGACATGACCTCCGACTTATTTGAAAAGTGGATAGAGCAGCAGTTAATACCAAACATTTCCCCAAATTCAGTGATTATTATGGACAATGCGCCATACCATTCCCGACAGAAAAACAAAATTCCGAATAC